ACAACAATGCAGTTAGAAACGAAAAAGGTAAAACCACAGCAGTCACTACCAGAAAATCCAAAAAATCATTTGCAACTACTTTGAAAATCTGTACTGTAATAAACTGGAGAATTCAGAGACATGGATAGACTCCCAGATACATATGAATTAACCAACAAGATATAAAACCTTGCAAAATCAAAAGTAGGCAATGAAATTAAAGCAGTAATTTAACAAAAAACAAAAATAAACCTACCAACTAAGAAATTCCCATGTCCTGATGGATTCATTGTTGGATTCTACAAGAACTTCAGTGAAGAACTATCTAATACCAATACTTCTAAAACTTTTTAATGAAGGAAGGAGTATTCCCAAAATCATTCCTGGAAGCTAGCATTATCTTGATTCCAAAGCCAAACAATAACTCAACTAAAAAGAAAACTATGTAGCCAATCTCTAATGAAAATAGATGTTAAAATCCTAAACAAAGTCAAGTATGGTGATGCACCCCTGTAATCCCAACACTTCGGAGGCTGAGGTAGGAGGATGTTTAAAAGTTGGGACCAGCCCGGGCTACAAAGTGAGCTCAAGGGCAGCCTAAACCGTATAGTGAGACCCTGGCTAAAAAAGCCAAAAACAAAAACAAAATTCCTAAACAAGACACTAGCAAACAGAATGCAAAAAATCATCAGAGACAATAAGCATGACTCAATAGGCTTTAACCCAGAATACAAGAATGGTTCAACATATACAAATCAATAAATAAAATATATCACATAAACAAAGAGCCAAAATCATATGATTATCTGAATAGACACAGAAAGTACCTCTGACAAAATCCAACATCCTTTTATGTCAAAAACCTAAAGAAAAAGTACAGCAGGATCTTATCTCAATTTGATACAGCAATTAATAACAAATATGTCAACATCATATTGAATGAGGAAAAGCTAAAAGTTTTCTTTCTAAAATCAAGAATAAACAATGGGGGCCTGGGATATAGCACAGTGGCATAAGAGCCTGCCTGGCAAGCACAACATCCCAAGTTCAATCCCTGGCACCTCAAAAAAAAAAAAAGAGATGTCCACAGTCACCACTCCTGATCAATATAGTACTTGAAACATTACCCAGAGCAACGAGACAAGAGAAAGAAATAAAAAGGATGCATATACAAAAATAAGTCAAATTATTATTATTTGCAGATAACATGATCCTCTACATAGATGTCCCAAATAGTCCATGAAATAGCCAAATTCAGCAATGTAGTACAGTACAAAATCAACACACAAAAGTCACTAGTGTTCCTCTATACCAATACTAATAAACTCACCAAGAAATAAATTACGGGGGCCAGGGAGATGGCTTGGTGGAATAAGCGCTTCCCTGGCAAGCGCAAGGGCCTGAGTTCAATCCCCAGTTCTGCCCCCCCACCACCAAAAAAAAAAGAAAAGAAAGAAAGAAAGAAATTAGGATACTATTCACAATAGCATCAAGAAAATACAGTTCACAATAATATCAACACTATTCACAACAGCATCAAGAAAAATTCAACAATTAGCAATTAACCTAACCAATAAAGTGAAAGACTTCTACAACAAAAACTTCAGCATTCTGGCACATTGGCCAAGCAATGGCCGTGACTCATCCACATGGCTAACACTGACAAAGGTTCCACAATCTGAGGTACAGGATCTCAGGATAAATCCTGAGGGCATTTCACTGACCTTATCAGACCCAAAAGCTACAACTCTTTTTTTTTTTCTTTTCAAAGTTTTATTGATAAACATATAGCAATGAGACAGTTTCAAATCAAATCGAAAGTACAGTTTCAACAAATAATACACTGCATATATTCTTCTTAGTGGTTAATTGCTGTACAAGATGCAGACTTGTGATCCTATTTACAAACACCATTAGAAAAAATCATTCTATTCATTAAGAGAATGCAACTATATATCTATCCCAACCACTTTGAATACACAGATACAAAATGGACATTCATAGTTATACCCCAATTTTTTTTTAAGTTCCGTTGTTGAATATTATAGGTGTGTAAACTCAGCAAAATATTCTAAAAGAGTACAGAAGCCCATAATAGCATTGGGTCTTCTGTTTAATTGGCAATGTCAGAAATTATTGACGTGAGTCCCCCACAGCTCAACATAACAACATGGCTTTACTTCCTATATTTCATCTTCATACTTTTCTACTGGATGGTTAAGACCAAGGTAAAGCAGAACCTATGCAACAAGAGTTGTAGCTTTTTGGTTTGAGAAGGTCAGTGAAATGCCCTCAGGATTTATCCTGAGATCCTGTACCTCAGATTGTAGAACCTTTGTCAGTGCAGCCATGTGGATGAGTCATGGCCATTGCTTGGCCAATGTGCTCTCTGTGAAAGCCTGAGAGAGTGTCTTCTCCTCATGTGACTCTCCTTAGGCACACTCCACGTCATCGATCAATTTCCTCTTTGGCCCCATAACCTTCTTGATCAGAAAATCTGGGACACTACCGAGGTACATGACGTTACAGTACAAGTTCTCATATGTCCTGAGTCTTAATTGACCTTAGAAGGGTAGGGCCAAAATATTGGCTTTCCTTGTAGCCCTCCTTTTTCTCTAATTTTGGTCTGCAAACTTAGGTTGTTAACCATCCAGAAGACAAGCTTATTGTTATTATCAAACGATTTACGTTATCAACAAAAGCTACAACTCTTGTTGCATAGGTCTTGCTTTACCTTGGTCTTAACCATCCATTAGAAAAGTATGAAGACGAAATATAGGAAGTAAAGCCATGCTGTTATATTGAGCTGTGGGGGACTCAGGTCAATAATTTCTGACATTGCCAGTTCAACAGAAGACCCAATGCTATTATGGGCTACTGGACTCTTTTAGAATATTTTGCTGAGTTTACACACCTATAATATTCAATAACGGAACTTAGAAAACATGGGGTATACCGATGAATGCCCATTTTGTGTCTGTGTGTTCAGAGTGGTTACGATAGATGTGTAGTTGCATTCTCTTAATGAATAGAATGATTTGTTCTAGTGGTGTTTGTAAATAGGAATCTCAAGTCCGCATCTTGTACAGCAATTAACCAGTAAGAAGAATATATGCAGTGTGTTATTTGTTGAAACTGTACTTCTGATTTGATTTGAAACTGTCTCATTGCTATCTGTTTATCAATAAAATTTTGAAAAATAAATAAATAAATAAACTACAGCACTCTGAAAAAAAAAGATCAAAAAGGAATCAGAAAATGTACAGATATCTACTCTTTGTAGATATTGTGAAAATGGCTATATTTCCAAAAACTAATTAATTATCTTACTTTTCTCATTGCTGAAAATACCTGACACTCAGAGTTAAAGGAAGAAAGGTTTACTGAGCTCCCAGCTGTAGAAGTTCCAGACCACAGCGGGTGGGCTCCCAGGCAGAGGGCCATGGCAAAAGAGGCACTGCACAGAAGAAACAGTTCATGGCAGGGAGAAAGCAGCACAAGCAAGCAACCGGCAGGCCACAAGCCTCTTCCTGTCCCTGTCTCATCCAGGCCACCCAGCCTTAGGTAGAGCAGTACTCACTCTCTTCATCTTAGCGCCCTTCATTCTAGCACAGCACCATGAATCAGTACCAATGTCACACACTCTAGGTCCCGCCCACTTCTTTAAAAACCCCATCTACAACCACATGAGGCTTTGGGGGACTATCTAGACATAGCCACAACAATCTGCCCATGTGCCCCCCAAAGACTCATGCATATCCTTTTATGCAAAAGCCATTTAGTCCATCTCCAAGAGCTTCTAAAGTCTTAACAACTTCAATATTGATGAAAAATCCAAATCCAGGACTGGGGATATAGCTCAGTGGCACACGTACCTGCCTGACAAGCACAAGGTCCTGAGTTTGATTACCAATTTACAAAAAAGTCCAAGTCCAAAGCCTTATCTGAAATTTAAGGCAAATGTGTAGCAACAATCCCCTGTACAAATGAGAAAAAAGTTAAACACTTCCAATATTCAATGGCACAAGACAGACACTACTATTAGAAAGGATACAAATAGAAAACTATAAAGCATTTGGGACCAAAGCAAGACCAAAATTCAGTAGGGTAAACATTAAGTCCAGTAGCTCCATGTTAATCTTCCCTGGGAAGATGAAAACTTCAAAAGGCTTGGAGGGCTCTGCCCCACTGGCACTGCTTGTGCTTGTAGTTTTCTCAGATGATCCATGTTCCTGGCTTCTCCAAAGTTCTAGGGTCTCTACCACATCTTTACCTCCACACTCACAGCTTCATATGCTGCCCTCTCATGGGAAAACCTGCCTTGCCCGGCAGGCCTTCTCTTGAAATCTGGGTGGAAGACATTATGACCCTACTACTTTTGCATTCTGCATGCAACTAAAACCAGCACAATGTGGATGACACTAAACTCTACCCACCAGATGGACAAGTACCCAGGATCCCTTCTTCCTCGGCTATAGGGGTCAAGTGCCTAAGGCCCAAATCCTGAGAAACATTTTCCCCAGGATACTTCCATTCTTGAACATGGTATATCTTCTCAAAGCAAAGCCTTTCACTTATGCAATTTTGAGGCACTAAAGAGTGGAGGCTCACTGGTTCTTGCAATGCTCTCAGGCCATTTTTTCTATTTTTTTGTTCTGAAATACTTGGATTTTTCTTGCTAATCTAATCTTTTCAGTGACCAATTGTTCCTCTGTTCCATTTTTTTAGGCCTTAACTTTACTGACTGAATTCAAAACATTCAAATTCAGGAAACAGAGCTTCCTTTCTGACTGAATTAAAAACATTTTAAATCAATCTGCTGAGTGCTTTACTCTTGATTCTCAATGCAGACTTGGCTTAAAGCCCCAAGAATAGCCATGCCAAGGCTTCAACATTAGACTACCTTGAAATTTCCTCTGCAAGATTAATTAGTCTACTACTCTTAATCTCAGTCTTACACAAAGTCTCTAGACATGAACAAAATGCAGGCAAATTTTCTGCCAAGGTATAACACACATCAATAGAAGTCCTTCCCAGCAGAAACCTCCTGAGCATGGCATCACTTTTGTTTGTTTGTTTGTTTGTTTGTTTGTTTGTTTGTTTGTTGTCTTTTATGAGACAGGGTCTCAGTATGTAGTCCAGGCTGGCCTGGAGCTCACTTTGTAGCCCAGGCTGGCCTCAAATTTGCAGCAATCCTCTGGCCTCAGCCTCCTGAATATTGAGATTATAGGCTTGAGCTACCACACCCCAACCCCTAGCCTGGCATCACTTCTGTCACCATTCTGATCTTTTAAACTTTGACCAAACTCTCCTATCACTAAAACCTTAAAGCCAGCATCTCTGAATCTTTATTTTTTTTTCCACAAGCCAGTTCCAAAGACTACTGAACCACATGATCAAGGTACAATCATAGCAAAAACCCCACTCCTGGTACAAAATTCTTAGTCACTACTCATTGCTAAGACAAAATATTTGACACACAAAGCTAAAAGAGGAAAGGTTTATTTGGCTCACAGTTTGTACAGGTTTCAGTCCATAGTTAGCTGGCTCCAAGGCAGGGTGGCATGGTAGATGGGCATCACAGAGGATAAACAGTTCATGGCAAAGCAGGCTAGACAGAAGACAGCAAACAAGTCCAAGTAACCACATCTTCTTTCTTCCTTATTCTGGCCAGTATACCAGGCTTAGGGAGGGTTCCAAACCAATCAGTACACTAATTTAGTAATCATACACCTTTAATCCCAGCACTCTTTTTTTTTAATTTTTATTTATTTGTGTGTGTGTGTGTGTGTGTGTGTGTGTGTGTGTGTGGCTAGCTCAGCCCACCAGGGGGCGGGGCTAGCTGGCATGTGGTGCTGGGGGATTGAACCGCAGTCCCTGTGCTTTGCTAAGCTTGTTCTAAGTAGGTGCTTTAGACCACTGAGCCATCTCACCAGCCCATAAATTATACATTTTTTTTCTTTTTTTGTGTGTGTGGAACCGGGGATTGCACTTGCCAGGCAAGCACTTCTTCTACTGAGCCATCTCCCTGGCCCCTAATCCCAGCACTCTTAATTCTAGCACTATGAATCAATCACACACTCTAGATCCAACCACCTCTAGAAAAACCCCATATATGGCAACATGAGCTCTAGGAGGGCATCTTGACACAAGCCATAATACTGATATACAGTTTTAACTCAAATCAATTAAAATATGAACATTATTCCTCACAAAACTAGAGAAAACAATACTACAATTAATATGGAAACAAAGAAACCCAAAATAGCAAAAGTAATCCTGGGCAACAAAAACAAAGCATGAAACATCATAATCCTGTATTTTTATTTGCTATATATTACAAAGCTGCAATGATAAAAAAAAAAAAAGAAAGAAAACAAGGTATTGGCACAAAAGCAGACATGTAGATAAATGGAAAAAATAGGGTGCAGAAACAACTGCAGAGACCCAGTCCTAGCCCAGGTCCAGTGAGTGTGTGGGAGCGCTTCCGGCTACCCTGTGCCGGCAGGACCAACTCCTGGTCCCAGCCCAGGTGCAGCATGGGTGAGACCGTCTTCCACCCCCTTGGGACGCCCCCCACCACTCCGCAGCACCTCCCACACCCTGCCCACCAAGTAGCAATTTCTGCCGTGTTCCTGGAACCCCCAGACCCAGTCCTAGCCCAGGTCTGGTGAGTGTGTGGGAGAGCTTCCGGCTACTCTGTGTCAGCGGGACTGACTCCTGGTCCCAGCCCAGGCGCAGCGTGGGTGAGACCCTCTTCCACCCCCTTGGGATGCCCCACACCACTCCGCAGTACCTTCCTCACCCACCTAGTAGGAATTTCTGCCGTGTTCCGGAAACCCACCAGACCCAGTCCTAGCCCAGGTCCGGTGAGGGTGTGGGAGAGCTTCCAGCTACCCTGCGCCAGCAGGACCAACTCCTAGTCCCAGCACAGGCACTGTGTGGGTGAGACCATCTTCCACCCCCTTGGGACGCCCCCTACCACTCCGCAGCACCTCACCCACCCCACCCGCTGAGTAGGAATTTCTGCCACATTTCGGGAACACCCAGACCCAGTGAGTGTGTGGGAGAGCTGCCTCTCCCCCCTACTACACTTTGTCCCCCCCAGGCTCAGCTCAAGCCTGGCATACAAGCCTGGGGTGTAACCCTGCAGCTACAATCCTTACAGAGAGAGTAGAGGATAGAATCACCCAGCTAGTCCAGGAGCAGAACATCTTGCAACAGAGGCACAACAGGTTCACCCTCAAGGGCAGCAGCAGAAAGGAGCTCAGCACAGCAGCCAGACCCAAGCCAGGCACAGCTGGATAAATCCAGACTTTGTAGATCAGCACCTGAATTTCAGTAAGTGCTAAGGTTATAACTACAACGAAGATCTACAACAAAGGTCGGAAGACAGTGCTACACAAAATGACGAGAAGGAACAAAATGCAACCTCAGAACCCAAGCCCACCCGTAACAAGTGCAGAGGACACTAACATAGAACAAATTGGGAATCACACAGCTGAAAGCAATGAATCAACGGCTTCTGAAATAAAGAAATAGCTGCAGAAAGGTATAGAGGAACTCAGATTGGAAATAAAAAAAGAAATTCCTGAA